GTTCATATCGATATCGGAATTATATCGTATCGACCGAAATTAAGAAATATATCGTGATTTCAATTTTGGCCATATCGTCCAGCCCTACCCCTGAGCCACAGACAATGGCATCTTTTGAGTGCACAAGACGAGCACTAGGACCCAGAGAGCGCTGCATTTTCTTCCAGGGGTTGCCTAAACCTCAGCGCGCGCACACCCCTGCTTAGGAAAACTAAAAGATAGGCAAAGAGAGAGGGAGAGACTAGAGGAACGCAGCTCTGTTGTGGTCACTCCAAGAACATGGAGGGGCTGGAGTGCAGTAACTGACCCGCTGCCATCGGGAGGACAGGAGTACATGTGGAAGGGCTTGTTCAGAGCGGATCAGGATTAAAAGGTGACTCGATTGTTGATCTTTACGGCACGCGTGCGGATGCATGCGCGCATTTATGAGCGTGTTTGTTGTAGAGGCTTTAACAAAAGGAGGCTGGAGTGTGTTTGGGAGTGTAGGGACGGTCGCGAGGCTGTTTGTTCCGTGCGAAATCGGGTGAGAATGGCGCTTGACAAAAGTTTGCCGTGGATTTGAAAGGAAACACCACAGTTTTATCATTAACTTCTCATCTGTTAGACCATCTGAGGAACCTCAGGAGCGTTTCTGTGGGGAAGACAGGTTTACCACAGACTGCTTGTGATCTCTGGTAGCCTGGACAGATGGTGGTAGGCGCGCGCGCGTGTGTGTGTGTGGTATGTTATGTCTGTCAGGCGGAAAACTAGTTAAGAGAGGCAGATCTGATGAGGAGCACAGCAACAGCAGAAAGACGCCTCGGTCTGACTGGATCTACACAGCTGATTGTACACATTGGACGCTGGGCGCTTTTAATCGCGCTGCCATGTGTGTGTGTGTGTGTGTGTGTGTGTGGAGTCTGTTTGGATTCTTGGGTGACTGTATCACAGTGTTATCTGCCAGATTGTTTTTCCATTTTTGGTATTAAGGCTGTTTTGTGGTGCTCAGTTTAAATATATGTGTATTTGGTCATTTTGGGAAGGAGTGTTTGGGTCAAAGGTCCCCACAGGACTGTAAAACCTGAAATCAGCTACAATATGTGGCAGGTCCCGTGAGGAATATGATGCAATAAACCTTGAAAATGAAAATTCTGTCATATTTGCTCAATGCTTACCCTCATGTTGTTGCAAACCTGTATGACTGTCTTTGTTTTGCAGAACACAAAGATATTTTGAAGATTGTTGGTAATCAAATAGTTTTGGTTGCCATTGACTTCCATTGTATGGAAGAAAAAACGAACAAACAAACAACTTCTGTGGAGAAACCTCGCTCTGAGCGAACCTAATGTGAGAGAAAACGGATGTTTTTGCTTTTTAAAAACCAGCTTCTCATTTCAGGCAAAATATCTGCTTCTACTTTTCACCGCTCACATACTCTGGTCAACAGTGAAACCGTTCCAGTGCGGTAATACTAAATACCAGCACTCTCGGACTGCCGACCAATAAGATTAACTGTTATGATATACACTTTTTTTTTCATTTAACTTTTATGTCTGATAAAAATATAATACAAAAACAAAATACAAATAATTGTCTTAATTAGTATCACTGTGTACTACTTTAAACTGAAAAAAAACAAAACAGTTTTGTTACTTGAAACAAAATAAATGTTAACTGAAATGAAATAAAATAAAATAAAAAAAAACTCAAAACTTGTTTTATTTCAGACAGTTGCCAAGGCAACATCGTTTTCATTCAGTTTAAGTACTACAACAAACAACTAAAACAAAATGAACTAAAATGTAATAAATAAAAATTCATAAAATCCATAATAACTTTATAGACATTTCTCAGAAAACGAATAAACAGAACAACAAAATTACTAAAACATTTAGATTATTAATTACTTTTAGATTACTAAAACTAAAATTAAATTGAAATCAAACTATAAAATTACAATCTAATTCAAAACATTCATGAAATCTATGATATATCAATGATACTGAAATATCACTGGCCACTATTTTTGTCTTGTTTTTAAGTCAGAATATCTTAAAATCCTCAACAAAATTGAATTAGCTTGAAGTATAATATAAATGAAATATATAAATGAAGTAAAATCGATATAAATGTAGTAAGGTTGATACAAAAACTTTATATTATTTATAATAACTTATTCAATATACCATACTTCACAATGCAGTGTACAGAAGTGTGTAAAGTTGATGATCAGTCCTGGAATGCGAATCCAATTCATCTAAAGATGCAAAATGTGTCGAACATTGCAAAAACAAGTGCGCAATTGTAACTGTTCGGCCACATTTTTACTGATATGATGATATGATGTAATGCTCCATGATAATGAGTTTCAGGCCACAAAACCAGTCGCACTGATGAGAGAACAGCCAGAACACTGTTTCCTCTCAGTGTCCTTGAACTTGTTTGAGAGGAAAGAGCAAAGCGATGAGCAAGAGGGGTGTTTAGTTTCAGGGGCTGATGTCATGCTGTAGTCTGACTGATTGCTCTGCAGTTCTGCTTCTGATTGGTCGATCGGCCGCTTTAGCTGTGTGAGTGACTGTTTTTATTTTTATTGTTCATGAATATTTACTGGCCGGTTGCTGGTGAAAGTGGTTGGCACTGTACTGTGTGTGTAGTAGGGCAGTGTATATTTGAAGCATTTTGAGCACCTTGTAAGTATGTCTTATCGTCCAAACTAACCCTCAGTCAGCAGGAGTTATGATTAGCTGCGGTTATCTTTACAACTGGAGTATAAGCAGCTATAAAAGCCCAGATTTCATGTGATGATGATGATGATGTCATGCCTTAGTGACTCATAAGTGATTTGATCATCTTCGCCATGGGCCATTGTGCCATTTTCTAAAATGGTTTAAACAGGGTCTGTTTATTCTTGAAAATTTTTAGTGGTGCTTGCTTAGGTCATCGCTATTATTATTGCTTTTTATTTTAGCGTTATTTCTATATTATTATGGTATTTCTTCATATTTTGGAATGGCTTTTATTTTTATGTAGCTTTTATATTTATATTTTCCATAGTTCAGTATATACATTTTGTTATGTATTTTCTATTTTTATACGTTTATTAGTTTATTATTATTTTAGTACTTAAACATTTTTCTTTTCATTTAATATTTGATTTAAATAACAAATATTTTGTAAACGTTTTAATCAGGGTTATTATAGTTAAAGGTGCAATAGGAGATCTTGGAAAATGCTAACTTTAGCCTGATAGCACTGAAAGCGAACGTCCCACCCTCCCTGCAATCGCCGTCCAAAACCACGGCCCCTGAACGCATTTACACTCACAGACCAGAGACAACTTTACTACAATAGGCTACATCAGGTTTCCAATTCCAGCCCATGTTCTGAAGTGAAGTAAACTTCAACGGATTTCCCCCGCTCATGGTGTAGGGAGCAATGAACACTGTGTAGGGATCATATCGATCGGAACACAGTTCATGCACGTAGCTCACTTCTAACGAGCTGGCGCGAGGACTAGATTAACCGCTGGGCTACATCATGTCATTCACCGGTGAGAAATCTTTAAAAGTACTACAATACCAGGAAGAAAGATCGGGTTGTTGATGTTTGCCTGCCATCCTCGCTCTGTCTGCACAGCGTGCGTGAACGCACTGATGACGTATCCTGTCTGCGCGAACAGGGTGCGCAGAGGTATGCTAATACATTGACAGGCAGGTAGGAAAGCATATTAAAACGCTCGGACCGAGCGTTTTGATTGGACGAACATTTCTTGATCCTACGCCTTCCACAGAATATATAAATACAGACAAATACATTTAGACCACTTAACTTAATTGCTATCGGGATGTGAAGAGAATTTCAACCAGCATAACAAAAAATGTTTCTGAAGACAATCACCTATTGCACCTTTAACTAAAACTAAAACCATAAAAAATGTTGTTACTTAAAATAAATGTTTTGTTCCTTGAAAAACAAACAAACAACTTATTTTATATCAGCTAATTTCTGGAAATATTTATAATTTTTATTTAGCTTAACGTGATGTACTAAAATAACTAAAAGTAAAACTGAAATAAAAATTCATCAAAACTATATAGACATACAACTGACAAAAATACATGACTAACCCTAACTAAAATTGAAATGGAAATTGAAAATCTAAAAATAAAAACTAATTAGTATTAATAAAAAAATCTCAATGATTCTAAAATGACATGTGACCTTCAAACAGAACTCTTGTTTCCTATACAGCCACAGTAATTGGGTCCATATTTTGGATTTATGTGCTATATTGTCATCCTAGAAACCTTATGAAAGATGAATAATTCCTTCACATCATTCTTTCTTCCATCTTTGTCTTTTTTTCCCCCCTTCCCTCTCTTGTGGACTGTAAAAGTGAAAGTGTCAGCTCACTTACAGCATGTGTCTGAGTGCACCGGCTGGATGATCTCTCAGACTCGGCACTTCAGAGGAAACCTCATGGGTCAAAGAACAGCTTGAGCTGAACATTTCAGTTTTAAGACATTATATTATTTAAGCTGAAGTGTGTCATTTTATGATGTAAAATACTGTCTCCTATCCCACATCCCGATGTTCAAAGTCATCTAGAAGTAAGACATTCATAGGTTGGATTTTCTGAAAAGTAATATTTTTTACATTTCTATTTGGTATTGGCTTGGAAATGAATTGAATTGCAATTCAAAAGCTGTTTTACTTCAGTAATTTTACATTTCTAAGTGAAATGGGATATTTAATGTGAACAAATGTAGGACTTGATTTTACCTATCATAAATTAATTGCATGCATTATTGCTAAAGCATTGCTTAAATAGCAATATGGCTAATAGTTAATGTCAAAGGACATCAGTGTGTAGATGAAGTTAGGTCAGAAAAAAAGCAGTTATTACTAGAGGTCGACCGATAGTGGATTTTACCGATACCGATAGCTAGGTTGTACCACACTGGCCGATACCGATTAATCAACCGATAGTTTTTAAAATGGTAAACGAAAACTAAAACAGAGCTTTACTATTTTTAAAAAAGCAGTAGCAGTACTGAACCATACTTTGTAAATGAATAAACATATTAATATTAATTATTATATTGATAATTAAAGTTATTTCATAGTTTACTAATGTTAAAAAAAGAAACTTTAAAATGTAAAAATATAGCCTATTAGTAATAGTAAATGTTGAAATGAACACACTAGGAACAATACTTTTACAGCTTTCATTAATATTACAAAAGGACTCTTACTGTAAAGTATTACCATTTAATTTCAACAGTCATGCTTAAAGATGGCCATCTTTAAATATCTACACAAGGCCATAGCATTAAAATTACATATGTTATTGATATTGTATGTGTACTCTTTTACAATCAAAATATTACAAAA